GGTCACCTTGAGAATGGAAAATAAAGGAGAATAAGACATTTAGTCATCATTTTTGAGGTATGACTTCATTATTGAAGTGTTAGATTTATACAATTTTAGAAAACTATACTTACAGATTCAAGTGGTTTTATATAAGTCTTTAAAGAGCACTGGAAGTAGCAATATAGTAAGTAATTAAAATGTGGCAAGCATTACCATAAAATGAGGATTTATGCCTGAGGATTAAATTCGCAGCATCAGCAGATTTTTAAAGGTGAGTTATAAACAACCTGGAGAAGGATTGATGATGCACTCAGTGTTGGAGAATCACAGAGAGAACCCAGTGCACACAGATGCTGATATTAGAGATGCATGTGAAGGGGTTAGCAAAATTGTTTCATGAAATTCAAGAATGGAAAATAATTTTTATAAATATAAAATATTTAAAATGAAACAAGATTTTAAAGTGCATGTGAAACAGCAGACTAAATATCTTACCTATACATCAGATTATATTCTCCATTTGTGCCTTTATGTTGGTCAAAATCTTTTCATTAGAAAGATGAAGATGACTTTGTATTCAAGGTCACTTTATGTGGGGTCACACGTGGTTTTCACCAATGTGATAAGTTGATTAATGATCCCCTCCCCAAGGACACTCCCCAGCAAGAACAAAGCCCCTCTCTAGTTTGGTTCCTTGTTTTATCTCTGGCACTTCACAAAATGAAGAACATCAGTCACTTGAAACATCAGATAAATATATTGCTTATTTACATAATTGTATGACCTAGCAAACTCTGAAGAAACTAAAATAGAAGTTTTCATTAAAAAGCATTTTCATGAAAGAAAAGTTTTCATACCTTTTGCTCTAGTGTTAGTCAAGATGAGAACAGTCTTAACTCTAAAAATGTAAAAGAAATCCTGATTTTTTTCTCTTGACAAATTCAGTGGTTCATATTTATGCAAGGGTATTTCTGAGGCCTGAGTTTTATAATTTACTCAATGGGAAATTCCACATTAAAAAAAAGGCCATTCTTATCAGAGTTATACCTCACCATGAAAAGAGGTATAACAACTACTACTTACTAACATATCATTTCAGTTAATACTAAAAAATGATCTTATGAATTAGCTGTTATCCCCACTTAACAAGTAGGGGAGACTGAGGCTCTTGATCTTAGTAACCAGTCTTTACCACAGGTTAGGTACTGTGAGAAAGGCCTTATGTGCACTAACTTATTCAATTCCCATGACTATTTTATGACTGTTATTATCTCTATTTTAAAGATGAAAAGACAGAGGTGCAGAGTTGATAAGATTAATAAAAACTAGCATTTCTGAGATAGAGCCCGATGGATCTCGAGTTTAAGTCCAGTCTAGGTTAGTGAGATCCTGTTTCTAAAGGGGAAAAGATTGAATAAAACTATAGAGAATGTGTGCCAGGCTTTCCCAGAACTTCCCTGAAGAGCACATAATGCAGGTGGGAGGAGGCAGTGGGAGCTTGGAAGCTGGTGTGGGGTATGCAGTATGTGTTATCAAGTGAAGTCATTTCTATTTCTCCTCTTTTGCTTCCCAGTTGTTCTTTCCTTGCACCCCACAGCAGACTGGTCAGTTTTAGTAGCTTTCTTGTTCATTTTCTCAATACCTCCTATTCAGTGAATTTTTAAAGGAAACATTTAGCTATTGCAACTGCTGTACATAAGTTAGTTACATAATAGGAAAGAAATGTGCCAGGACTGGCGTCTTTATTTCCAAAGAAGGGTTTTGAAGTGACTGAGAGCTATTTTACTGAGTGGGTCATGACTTGGGAGTCTCTCTATACCCTTTCATTGCCATGACGACACACTGCTCCTGCTTCACCAAGCCAGAAAAAGCAGCTGACATCTCAATGCTAGGAACATAGGGGAAAGGTTTACAAAAAACAACAAAACAAAACAAAACAGAAAAAAACCTCTCTTTTATTTGAATGTCAGCAAGAGAAGAAAAAACATCCCTAGAGCAAGTCAAAAACCCTATTCTTGCTTTCAGAAAAGATCTGAAAGGAAAAATGTTGGGGGCCTTATCCCCTGTCCAAGTAGGCCAATAAAGCAGAGTTGACTATAAAACAGCCTGTCTCCTCACTGCCTAAGGCAGGCGACAGCAGAAATGGCTCCTTGGTTTCATTTGACTTGGCCATTAAGAAGCTGCCAATTATGAAGCAGTAAGTTGCACAGTAACAAATGCCTTATGTCCTGGTCCCACAGGGGAGGTCAGATTTCTTTTCACATTTCTTTGAATTAAAAAAAAAAAAGACAACTCAAAGAATATTTTTTTCTTGTGATCCAATTTTATTAGTAGAAACACCATTCCAAGTGCATATCAAATAACTCACTGATCTATGAGATTTCTTATAAGCAACCAGTAAAATTCCCACATTTCTAGAGTTCTGCCCAGTGCTATGCCTGGTATTTTGTAACTATCGAATTGATCCTAACATCGACTCCACCTGTGGGTACTAATATTGTCCTTTCGTTTAACAGATGGGTAAACTGAGCCCTGGAAGCATAAAGTGACTGCCCTCGTTCACATAGCTTGTAAGAGGCAGAGTAAGGGTTCCAGACCAGGTGTATTAGACTCTGGAGTCCATGCTCTGTCACTCTGTTTTGCTGACTCAGGGGTTTAGACATGGCATTGTCATGGTATGACATGACATAGTATGATATAGTATGTATGACAGTACATAGAGCAGAATGTATAGTACTAGGAAGAAACCCTGAGAGAAAGAGTAGATCCACTCCTTTTCTAGAGTTTCAACAGGAATCTATAGCTATGACAATACTTCATATTTGCTATGGTGATCGATCACTTAATATAAACCAAGCATTGCTACTTTTCTCACTTATTTCTTACATCAAATATCTGTAGTATCTGCTAATTTTATGAAGCCTATTCCACAAATGAGGGGACAAAGGCACAAAGAGATGAAGTCATTTGCCTAAAGCCCCAAAGCTATGTAGTGGCCAAGTCCAGATATAAATCAGGCCTTAAATAAACCAGATCTATATGGTCATATATAAGCCAGAGCCCATGGTCTTACTCAAGTTACTAGATTGGCTCTCTACTAGTCTTACTTAAGTTATTAGAGCCATCAGTCAAGAGCACATACTCTGGTTTCCAAAGCTCAGTCCATTTTCTCCTGCCTCTGACCAAAGTCATGCTGGATCTAGGTGGTAATTACCATTGCAAGCACAGCCTTTGGCAGAAGATGAACTCGGGGACCTAAGAACCAGGCTCTGGATGGCTGGACATCTATCAGGCATACAGACCTATCAGGGAAGTTCTTCTGGATCTATGGGGGTCTCTTTTTCTCCCACTGAAGAATAATAAGAGAAATAAGAGAGTATAGTGTACCTCAAGTCTTTTAAAAAGTTGTTTATGTTCTTCTTGTTGGAAAAATGTTCCCAACATGCTCTGGCCACTGTGCTAAACTCAACTAAAATGGCAGTGTTCATGGACTGTTACAAGTCAACTAAATAAAAATGACAGTCCAGAGGAAATGAAATGAATAATGTTTTGGAGTTGTCCAGGTATATCATATACACTCCATTTCTGTCATCACTAGCTATTATTTTTACTTATTGATATATGAATCTGTGCCATGAAAGGCTATTGGGGATCAAATCCCAGAAGTAGAAAGAAAAGAATCCCTAGTATCCTAATTGTTCAATGGCTGTACAAAAATTCTCTGAAAGAAAAAAACAACATTTCATGAATAACACATAAATATTCTCTTCCAAAAATGTGGAAAACAACATCAGTTAATTGAATGATAAAGCAGATGAAATAGATTGCTCTGCTTTGCTAGATCTTGTTGGATGACCAGAAATATAAATTGAAATCTTTCCTAAGAAGTATGCTTTTTAAAAATATAGTCAGAACCATCAAAATTTAACTGAGTAAGCTGAGAACTAATAAAAGCTTGTATCCATGAGAAAGGAAGAGAATTGAAAAAAAAAAAAGATTTCGCTGAGTTGGACTACGTGAACATTTCTATTCAGCGTGTTGGGGCTCCAGGCCAGAGAAGAGGCAGCTACAATGCCAAGGAGACATATTTAACCTCTGCAGATTAGACAGTGCAGTAGTGCAGTACCTCGTGTACTGTTTCAGCAGTATTGATCTACAATGGAAAAGCATGGTTTTCTGCAGGGTGACCTTTACTACCTGGAGTTGTGAGTAGGCACCCCTTGCATTTCTGCTGGATCTTAGGAAACAGAAGCAGAAACGACAGTATCTTATAATACAAGGGCTATCAAAATTTCTTTAGCTTTATATTTCTCCTCCCCCTTTTGTTTTTCTAAATGAGACATCATCAGAAATCAGAGAAATTTTATGTCCATGTGTGCACATCTTAACACATGATAGTAAGAGGTAAGAAACAACTCATTGTAAAGCAATAAAAATGGGATCACAAAGGGATCATTTAAAGTAACTTAAAAATGACCAAATAAGAATATACCATTGTAGGGATTTTCCTGCCTCCTAGGAAAGCAAAACGCTCTAATCCTGCATTGCTGTTAGATACAGACTGGAACTATGATGGTGATTGAGTAACTTTAGAAAATTTGAACATAGAAAACATGCAAGTAATTTCATTTTGAAAATTATTCTTTCTTTTTGTAGAAAACTTTTCTTACGGTTTATTTCATATATTTAATAAAGTAGTTCTACAAATCATATTTCAGGATTCAGGCTTCAGTCTGAATGCTACTCAGGGTAAGAATGATTCTACATTTTTGTTCTTAGTCTTTATAAAACTATCATTTATTAGTACTTGGTATTTAATCTTGAGGAGAAAATGAAACATGAATACAATTGCTGAAATTCCCTATTAAGTAGCTTTTCTGTAAGTAACACAAAAGGCATTTTTTTATAAATAAATGACTTTGTATTATTTAGGAAACAATGTTAACCAGCTTTACAAGATCACACAAATTAGTTTAACAGATGCAGTTAGATGATAGAGCAAATTAATTAAGATTTACCTTCCGATTGGTGGCTGGACCTAGATCCTCGGTAGAAGATTGATGGTGAAGTTGAATCCCCTCTTTTGCTCACGGTCAGGAAATAAAGTTTGACAAATACCCAAGAGAAACTCTTTAAATCCCTCTCCTCGTTAGCTCTGCTTCTTTGCCCTGAAGCACATTCAAATCTAGTGGAGTTGAAATTCTGCTGCTCTGTCAACTAGTCAGGGTCTGAAGTGACAGATGAGAGTGTGGAGGTTGGCACCAGGGAGTGTTTCAGACTGTCATCATTTGTGTTGCAGATTCTGGATTCTCTAGCAGACTGGCCTCTCTCTCTCTCTGAGAGCATAGTGAGCTTTGCAGGCCCTGCAAACCCACAGGGAAAGCGCTAACTCTGCTGGTGAGCACGGAGTTAACCGTCCCCCTCCTTCCCAAGCTCCTGTTCTCACAGGCTCATAACTTGGCCAGAATATGAGCACTTGGCTCTTTATGCGTTTTTTTCCCTTTCTCAAAGAACTCAGGGATTTTATAGGCACGATTCTTTTTGGGGGATTTTCTAACTTTAAGTCTTTGAAAAGAAACTTGATGCTGGTGTTTCTTCCTAAGGGCAATTGAAGAGTAGGGGTTAAAGAAGGAGAGGATAATTACACAGATGCATTTTTACATCGGTCGATTGGAAATGGTTCTCATGAATGTGTTCTGAATGTCAATAGCAGGACACTTCAGCTCCTTTCACATCTCTTTGAGTGAGCTTGGACATTTAGGTTTACATAAACCTAAATATGATAGGTTCTTTATATGATAGCTCACTAATATGCCAGTTCAGATGTTGCCCCTCCACCCAGCTCTCTAGCCTTGCACTTGTGTGGTTTGGTCAAGGTAAATCTTAATTAATTTGCTCTATCATCTAACTGCATCTGTAAAACTAATTTCCTATGAAATCAACTGGAGGTGTGTGCTGATTTTTGATCAGGCATTCTGGTTCTTTATGCCTGGGTCTCATCTCTTCTTCTGCTGTTTTCTACATTTATTGCACATTAATTATGTGTCAGACACTGTGCTAACAGCTTTTTAGGCATTGTATCAGTTGATCCTCACAAGTCTGTTGGTGTAAGTTCACTTTGCTCTCATTGGAGACTTGGTTAAGTCTGCAGAATTGGAGACCAGGCAATTTGGATTTGCATCTTGTTTTCCCTACTAACCGTATGACATGGAGTAAGTTTTATAAACTAAGCTTCCTTGACCTTATCTATAAGATGGAGCTACAAATATGGAAATGATAATAGTATCTATCTCAGGCAATTTTTCTGAGTTTTAAGTAATTTAATACAAGTAAACTGCACAGAACACTGCCTGCCATCTTTTAGGCACTCAATAAATGTTCACTATTATGGTTTATGTAAGAGGAAACTAACGCTTGGTAAAGCTAAGTGGTTTTTCTAGGATCTCTACTTATAACTTGTAGAGTGGAATTCCAAACAGCTACCTTGCTGGTGGTCACACTTGTGTTCGCCAACTATAACACCTCTTTCCCAGCTGATAAGTTCCTTGAAGTAGGGGGCTGTGCCTCTTCTCTGTTCTTATTGTGCCTAACATGAGTGCTTTCTTTGCCTACAGTAAATGCTCTGTTAATATGAGGTAAATAGCTGCTATTTAATTAGATAAATTTTTCTAAATGTATACTAAAGTCCAGCAAAAATCAAAGCAAGCAAAACAAAACTGATAAAAACAAAATGAAATAAAAATAGACAAAAGTCCCAGCTATAATGCTAGAGAAATATGCCGTCAGTCAAATCTTTTAAAGCACTTTAGAAACATCTGCTTTATTTATTGTTAGAACACTGCAAGAGAAAGGTAACACGAATTGTCTTTACTTTGCAGTTGGGAAAATTTGGGAGCAGAGGAAACTGGGCAATTTGCCTAGGAACCGAAAACAAGTCACAGTGCAGCTGGGAACCTTCTCACATCTTTGGGAATCAGGATTACTTGCTCTAAACTGCCTTTCCATGGACAGGATGAAAGGACATGACGTCTTTGTGCCTCAGACAATGGGATGTTTTTCCTTAGCCAGTTCTAAGGGGTGAGCAGTCTCCTCAAAGGAAGACAAAAGGGTGGGGTGTGCTGGTCTTTGCTTCTCCTGGACCTCTGTGCACATCTAGTTTTAGAAGTGTGAAGCACTTCTCCAGTGGTCTCTAGAGGGACCTGGGAGTGGTGAGACCATTGCAGGGTATATAGGAAAGCATTTCTGAGGATTGGGCCCTCATTGAAAGATTTTTCTCAGACACCAAAAATAATAACTTCTTATTTTAATTAGTATTTATTTGAGATGGCTTTATGGATTGATTTCAGACAATGACATTAATTCAATGAGAATGTAGAGAAATTTTTAGCTGGAGAGCTATGGAAAAGACTTTGACCAAATAAAATATTTTTTCTAATATTGTAAGTGACACCTTTCTATGAAGTGATCAGAGTAAAATTTCTTATTGAAATCTGTATTAACACAAAATGATTTGGTTAAAGCAAACTATATTTGTGTCTTAAATGTAAATATGTACATAGGTAATTCATTTGTAGGTTTCAAAGCTTGACTCAGTTTAACAGAATATTTTACTAATCTATAACATAATTAAAAAAATCTACTGTTTAGTTATAAGATATTGCACTGTTCTGAATTTCTTAAAAGTTCAAACTCATAACTAGATGAGAGAAAAAACTGAATAAAAATAAATAAAGAGGCTTTGAATTCACAATGTCTTTTAAGTATGGCTTTATTTTGGGAATGTTCATTGGCAAATATCCAAACTCTTATTGTTTGTAAAGTTGTCATTTCTAAAATAGTTTATAGCTCATAAAGCGGAGGACAATAAACCTACAACAATGCCCACCTACCAGATGGAGCTGTAAATCCGTTTAGAGAATTTATGCAATCTCTCAATGTGAAGGGGAGATTTGACCAAGAGTTTCTTGCGTGACTGTGTATGAACTGACCCACATAACAATGACATTGGCCAGAGGATCTGACAAATGACAACATCTAAGTTGGAGTCTTCTTTTTAAACTTTAGTGTTGAGAGTTCCTTTGAGACTCTGATGAGAGCTATAGCCTCTGAAGCCATCTGTACCCCACCCCAGGTCTCCGGCCGCACTCAGGGAGTCCATGAAGCTAAGAACCTTGCTTCAGGGGAAAGACCAGAGAATACAGTTCAGTCACCGCTCCACATCCATAGTTTCTTCATCTGTGGAATCAACCAACCAATTACCAATTTAAAATATTTTAAAAAATTGCATTGGTACTGAACATGTATAAATGTTTTTCTGGTCATTAGTCCCTAAACAATACAGAATAACATTTATCTTGCATTTACATTTTATTAAATATTATAAATAATCTAGAGATGACTGAAAGTATGTGGTAAGATGTGTGTAGGTTATATACAAATACTACACCATTTTGTATAAGGGAACTGAGCATCACCATTTAGTATTCGTGGAGTCCTGCAACAAATCCCTTGTGGCTACAGAGGGCCGGCTGCAATCAATCCTCCAGCATATAATGAGCCTCTTCGCTGTGGAGAGCATGAGTATCTGAGCAACAGGAGAGACATGTCATAGATCTTGCCCAGTATAAGCCTGATCATTGCTACCTTGGAGTAGTGGAGTGTTGCAGGTAGAAGTGAGTAGGGGAGATGGAGAGATATAAGGGAAAACAGAATGACTGTAACAACCTTGGCTGGGATCTGCCCTGTAGGACCCTCTTCCTTGCTTACCCATAACAGTTATTGCAAACTGTGCAGCTTAAACTACAGTTCTGGAGGCTGGAGGTCTCAGATCAAGTTTTTGCCATGTTCGGTTTCTCCTGAGGCCTCTCTCGGCTTACAGATGGCCACCTTCTTGCTGTGTCCTCATGTGGCCATTCCCCTGTGCATGTGTGCTTCTGGCATCCCTTTCTCTTCTAATAAGGACACCAGTTCTACTGGATTAGGGTCCCAACCATATGGTCTCATTTAACCTTAATTATCTCTTTAAAGTACGTGCTTCCAACTATAGCAGCAGTGGGGAGTAAGGCTCCAGCATATGAATTTTTGGGAGAGAAACAATTCATTTCATAGTACCCCATTGTGACATTTAGACCTTTGTATTTAGCTGTCTGGGGGTCTCGATTTCACTCAGGTCTTAATTCTGACCTCGTCACTGACCTCTGAACTCACCACCATCATATTCTGATACTGAACCAATTCAGATTTCTCAGATTGGTTCTGGTTAGCAACCTCTGGGTCAATTTCTGAATACGGACTGTTATCATTTACTCCAGCCATTCTCTCTTAGCCCAGCCCTGACATGAGATTAGTTATATACTTGCTTAGACCTTAGGCAGAGCTGTAACACTCAGGAGACAATTAACAAACAGAAGAGTAGCAAAATGGGTACAGCATTTTAGCAGATACAATATGGCTGTTGCAGTTTCTAGTAATAACCTTGAAAGCTAAGAAAAAATAATCAAAGGAGAAAGACAGGTGGTTAGTCTGACATCTGAAATGTCAGGCTAATTAGTTTGCCTTTTGTAGATTAGGTAAAGGGAACTCTGAAAGGGTTCCCATTGATAGTTGGGAAGTATCTATGAGGATACATTATGCTGAAGTAACAAACAATCCCCAAACATCTGGGACTACCAGAAAAAAGGGTTCTGATGTTGTTTTGTTTTCCTCATGCTTCCTGTTCAGTGCAGATCTGCTGTAATTCTGTTACACATCTTCAACTCTGGCATCCAGGCTGATGGAACAGTTCCCTTGGCAGAAAAAAAGGAGATCTGGTAAACTCTGCCTGGGTGTGTTGCAGTTCTGCTTCTTCCAGCACTTTGTTGACCACACCTCATGTTAGTGAGGTATGGAGCATGTTCCTCCTACAGAGGCGGAGCCAGAACAAGGAAATAAAATAAAAACAGCTTTTAATAAGAAATGGAAGTATAGAAAACCCCGTTAAAAAAAAAGCATCAGGAGCTGGGAGTTGGTGGCTCACACCTGTCATTCCTAGCTACTCAGGAGACAGAGATAAGGAGGATAGCAGTTCAAAGCCAGCACAGGCAAATAGTTTGGGAGACCTATCTCGAAAATCCCTGGCACAAAAAAGGGCTGGTGGAATGGCTCAAGTGGTGAAGTACCTGCCTATCAAGTGTGCGGCTCTGAGTTCAAACCCCAGTACCATCAAAAAAAAAAATACAAGAGACAGAAGGAAAGTTTTACAAAGTAGGAGACAAAGAGATAGAGGTGTAAGGGAGAAGAAAATAAGGAAAACATAAGAGTCAAGTCTATAGAAGACACAAATAATTGAGAGAACTGGGACCACAGAAATGCAATGGATTAATATCCATAATATAAGAAATTCAACAGCAAATCAAAAACAAATAACCCAATCAAAA